ATGCCAATAATGAAGAATTTATAACCTCGGGGACCTTATTTAATATAATTAGATGAATGTTCATTGGGATTTTATTTGTATATGAAGAGTCTTGTCATGGTAGCAGAGACAAGCTGAAATCAAACTTATTGTGCATGTTGTGACTTGTGGATTCTTTTGTTGTGCATGCTGGTAGCTGGTGCATGTTGCAGCTATGCTTGTGCATGTTGTTAATGAACAGGGAATATAATGAACTTCATGCCTTCTTGGAAATATTTGTTTAGACAGATTAGTAGAAAAAACCATGAATTTATATTGGACTGTCGCATTTTGTCAACTTATTTGTTTGTCAATGTTGCATAGTCTTTTTTGATTTATAAATGAGTAGAATCTTAAAAATGTTGAATGAAATAGTTGGAAGGAATTAGCCTCGATTATTGAAATGTTATGTTCTTTGTTACCAGACAAAGCTTCTGCCCCTAACAGAAGAGAAGACGTGGTCAAACAATGGGTAAAGGAAATATGAAAGCATTTGATGCCTCTGGAAAGAAATTGAAGGTAGATGTGGATTCAATGATAGGACGACCCAAAAGTCGAGAGCAATCTGCAAAGCTCTCAAGTCAAGTTGGTGTAGTAGCTCGAGATGTCCTTCGAGTGCCAAGAAAATAAAAAGAAATGGCTGAAGAAAAATATTTTGAACCAGACATTGATCATATAAAGGTAACTATAAAATAAGAATAAAAATGACATGTTTTCTTTTTCTTATATATGTAAAAATATGTTAAATGTGATGTTCAGATTCATATGGATGTCAACTTGGATGCACCGGGTGCGAGGCACTGCTTGGTTGATAGGATGAAATCTAGTTCTCGACAAATTCGTTACAGGTTACATAAGCATTACAAGAAGTATGCAACCCTACAAGATGCTAAGAATAATAAACCACCATTTTGTGCTAGTAAAGAAAATTGGGACGAACTCTGTGATTATTTTGCATCAGCTAAGTTCAAGGTAATATCTCTTGAGATTGGTACTCTTATTGATATACTTTGGGAATATTTATTATGTTGCAATTTCTTGTTTTTCAGCATCAAAGTTCAATTAACTCTATGAATCGACAAATGTTAAGGACCCCGCATATATCTGGCAGAACTCCTTTTTCTACACTTCAACATGAAATTGTAAGTTCCAAACATGCAATTATGTTTTAAAATATTTACATATTACGCTATGGAGAAATAATCATAATATTTTAATAGGTTCATATCCTCATATCCTGTACATTTTATTTTCATTTTTATTCTTGACTAGGCTCAGAATAATGCTAATGGAGATGCTAATGGAGATTCTAATGGAGATGTTAATGGAGATGCTGGGGACATAATTAAGTTCTAAAAACTCACACATTGCACTGACATACATGGTTGGTCAAAAAATGAGGCAAAAGAAAATTGGGTAATTTACACTTTCATATTTGTATAGGTATTGTTATTTTTTAGATACGCATGATATATACTTGTAATCCATCAGGAGTTGTATCGAGGCGAGAAAAATATATAGCGGAAGGAGCTGATAAGACGAATCAAGAAATAATTCACAAGGTGCTTGGTCCAAGATCTACTTATCTGAAGGGACTTGGTTATCAGACAAATCAGTTAAATAAAGGCATTTTTGCTCCAGCCAACCAAAACCTTCAAAAGGAAAAGGAGCTTCAGGAAACTCGAGAAGAACTAAATGCATCAGAATCACAAGTGAGTTAGCTCAAGGAAGAAGTTAGTGGCTTGAACAACTTATTGGGCCAACAAGGTGCAGATATTGAAAAGCTTAAGGCATTCATCGCTTCCAAAGGAAATACTTGAGGTAAACAATTGGATGTAAACAATGGGACTTGTTTGTTATTTTCTGAAAATATGTTTTGATAAATAAAAATTTATGTGCTGATTCGAATGTTGTATATTTACAGGTGATTGCTCTCTTTTGTGAATGAATGTTGATAGATTACCAAGACTTTCCTGCAAAACTAGAAAATAAGCAGAGATTTGTTTCTTAAGTGTTTATTTAGTGTTTTTCACTTAATATTCCAAGTACAATCGTTTTTGTTTTTAATTATGAATATTTCATATAATTCCTTCTATATATACTCATTTATTTTTATTTCACCCAATATATTATGTAATTATCTAATTTACTGGCTAATTACAATAGTATTATTATGAATTTTTGTGATAATTTTCAATTAGTTACTAAAAGCAATCATTAGTGACACAACGTATGGTCATATATAAATTCATTATTGTGGCATAAAATGGCTTATTTATGACTAATATTTTGTCACACTAAATTTCTTTCAAGTGACAGTATATTTTGCGTCATGTACTCTACTTTTTCATGATAGAATACATCGTCACATTTTATATGCATTTGGTGACGATAAACACAATGTCATATAATACAATCTTTCTATGACTAAATATATCATCACCTTTAATTTATTCATTTGGTGACAAGGAATATTTCATCATTAAAACATAATTTTATGTG